AATAAATTGTCGGACCTCGTCCATTTCTTAACATATGACGTCATTTGTTTACATTCGATACGCCAGAGCAGTTATGAATGTACGAGATTCATGGAAGATTGTAGTTTATAACAGTAAATTCGACCTTGTCTACCATAAGGTTCATGGTGGCCGAGTGGTCAAGGCACGCCAGCGTATATGGCGGTTCCGTATAGGATGCTAGTTCGAATCCTGTCTATGAACGAATATTTTCTATGAAAATTTCTCGGACATTCAGGCCGGTAAATGTTATTTAATACTGTTTATCATAAACAGAGCATTTGCTTAAATACTTGTATCTATAAAAATAACAACGTTAAACATAAATAAAATGTCTTTAATAAATAAATTGTCGGACCTCGTCCATTTCTTAACATATGACGTCATTTGTTTACATTCGATACGCCAGAGCAGTTATGAATGTACGAGATTCATGGAAGATTGTAGTTTATAACAGTAAATTCGACCTTGTCTACCATAAGGTTCATGGTGGCCGAGTGGTCAAGGCACGCCAGCGTATATGGCGGTTCCGTATAGGATGCAGGTTCGAATCCTGTCTATGAACGAATATTTTCTATGAAAATTTCTCGGACATTCAGGCCGGTAAATGTTATTTAATACTGTTTATCATAAACAGAGCATTTGCTTAAATACTTGTATCTATAAAAATAACAACGTTAAACATAAATAAAAATGTCTTTAATAAATAAATTGTCGGACCTCGTCCATTTCTTAACATAAGTGTATATATATATATATATATATATATATATATATATATATATATATTAATGACATTTTTTATGTTTAACTTTTTTTATAGATACAAGTATTTACGTAAATGCTCTGTTTATAATTCAGGCCGGTAAATGTTATTTAATACTGTTTATTATAAACAGAGCATTTACTTAAATACTTGTATCTATAAAAAAAGAACGTTAAACATAAAAATGTCTTTAATAAATAAATTGTCGGACTTTGTCCATTTCTTAATATATGACGTCATTTGTTTACATTTGATACGCCATGAGCAGTTATGAATGTACGAGATTCATGGAAGATTGAAGTTTATAAGCAGTAAATTCGACCTTGTCTACTGAACGATCCTTTGTGGCCGAGAGGTTAGGCACGTCAGCGTAAATGCAGGTTCTAATCCTGTCAAAGGACGAATATTTTCTATGAAAATTTATCGGACATTCAGGCCGTAAATGTTATTTAATACTGTTTATTATAAACAGAGCATTTACTTAAATACTTGTATCTATAAAAAAGAACGTTAAACATGAAAATGTCTTTAATAAATAAATTGTCGAATTTTGTCCATTTCTTAATATATATATATATATATATATATATATATATATATATATATATATATATATATATATAGCTGGCCACTCATATTCAAGGATACCCGTCTACTACAGCGGCTAGATAATCCCTATTGCAGACGCTTGCTCAAGCGCATTTGCGTTTATTCAACCCCCACAGACCCCATCTGTAGTTTATGCTGAGTAGACCTTAGTTACATTTTCTGGGAAAGAGCGTGTTATCTAGCTTGATCAACAATTTGAACAAGGCCAGCATGCACAAGCCTTCGGCCACGATGACTTGTTACTTTGTGCTAGCACAGCTATCGATGGCCTCCAAGGTTTCCGTCTACCCAATTTCCATAACAAAGCTTGGGTCAACCCGTGATATGGTTTTCAGGTAATTTCCAAAGGTGCCGCACGCTGGGATCGACCTCTCCAGTCCGATAGTATAAGGAAGTTTCCTTACTGACAAATCCACTATGGTGAGATTCGAACCCGTGTCTCATGGTCAGGAATGCGAACGTTCTAAACACTTGGTTTGAAGTAGAGATATGTAAAGACGCAAGCAACGTTTGCAAATATATTCCAACCGCGAATAATGACGAGATGGGAATGTTGGTGTTAGCACCCAAGGCTTGGGGTATGTTTTTCCTTGTTTTTTTTTTTTTTTTTTTTTTTGGGGGGGGTTATACAAAAATGATCAGTGGAAAATGTCATGAAAGCATTTCTGACTTTAGGTCTTTGGTTGAGACCCGGAAGGAAATGTGTATATAATAAAAATCCAAGGGAATAATAATAATAATAATAATAATAATTAAAATAATAATAATAATAATTATTATTATTATTATTATTTTCTTTGATTTCTGGCGTTTACACATTTCTTTCCGGGTCCCGCCCAGGGACCTAAGTTTAGAAATGGCATCAAGACACATTCCAGTGACAAAAAAAAAGGAAAAAAATTACATAGATAAAGCCCTTCGTAAAGTGTGGCCTGTACTTGTCAGAACAATTTTTTGTATCTCCTTGAGGCATGGACTTCCAGGAATCCCTTCAATTAGTCTACTGTAATCTTTTCCAACCAGTCCTAGGGCTCCAACTACAACAGGGATTGTTGATGTTCCCATATGCTACATTTTCGAGATTTCTAATTCAATGTCCTTGTACTTTGACAGCTTTTTGAATATCTTCAAAGATGCATTGCAGTCAGCAGGGACTGCCATATCAATAAGGAGGCACCGTTTATTATTATCATTATTATTATTATTATTATTATTATTAATATAATAATAATAATGATAATAACGATTATTATTATTATTATTATTATTATTATTATTCCCTTGGATTTCTATTGTATACACATTAATAATGATAATAATAATAAAAAAAATAATAATTATTATTATTATTCTTATTCTTCTTATTATTAATAATAATGATTCTTATTCTTATTAATAATAATGATTCTTATTCTTATTAATAATAATGATTCTTATTATTATATTATTATTATTATTAATAATAATAATAATAATAATAATCATTATTATTATTATTATTATTATTCCTTGGATTTCTATTGTATACATTAATAATAATAATGATGATAATAATAATAATAATTATTATTATTATTATTATTATTATTATTGATATACTAAAAATAATAATAATATTAATAATAATGATTGTTATTATTATTATTATTATTATTATTATTATTATAAACAGCTTATGCAGTGATTATCTAAAATTAAAAGAAAAAAAAAACAGCATTAGTTCGACGTGGTAAACAAATGGTATCCCCAGAAATCAAATGTTATTTTTACAAGAAAAAGAAAAACAATTGGATAGACTGGGACATTGAATTCCAGACAGACGATATTATCTATGCGAAGAAACCGGATGTGATGTTTGTGAAAAATGAAAATATGAATTTACATAAAACAGCAGATGAACACAAGAGGAATATTTTACCAAACAACACCACTCTGTGCATTATTTACTCTCCGTAATGAGCCTGATCATAATGTTAATTTTAAAACGTTTTAAAAATTAAAGGAAAAAAGCAATTTCCTAAAACGAAAAAGCATAAAAAGGGCTTCAATCGCTAAATGCTCCACAGTAAATTTACGTCGGACAGTCTGACCAGATTGTTCAATACTGTCGAACTCTCTGACGATGCAGGGAGGAACCCGGACGAGGCTTTGCCAATGGGCAAGATTTCGTCCGGGGAGGTAGACAGGCCCTGAACCCATTTATGCGGGTTCTAAGGGAATATTTTTGCCGAACCAACGGGCACAGAAAACCCACGGTAAACGCGGCCTTGTGCCACATACATCCCTCGTGGTAGTGGTGGTGGGGCTGTTAAATATAACAGTAAATTTTCGTCCAGTTTCTTACAACATTTTAATTTTCTTGGTAGATCTTACATTTTCACAATGTGGGATAATGATAATATTAATTATTTTAAAAGACATAAACAGAAACAAAGTCAAATCGTCTAGTCTATAAACGCAAACAACCATAAAAAAGATTAAATTTAAAATTTCAACGTCCCCTCTCTTTCATGCGCATATGTAATCCCATCAACGTAAAAATCAATTTAGTCTTATGAAGTCATACCAAAAATGTTTCCGAAAAAAAAAAATGAAGAGAATATCTGCTAAAATTTAGATGCAGCTGTTGCAGAATATTAAATCTTGAAGGTGAATTACAATGAATACTTGCAAAATCGTGCCTGGGAATGAAGAAAACTGTAAGATCATGTCAATAATTTTTGTCTTAGTCTGAACGGAATATAAAAAACATCAGAATCGCGATAGTATTTAAAAGAAGGTTCGAAGACACTATGTTATCACCCCCACCTCTAAAAAAAAAGACTGTAATGAAGAAATGAAGAAGAAATGATCGGAAAGACAGAGGAGAATTAAAACGTCAAGATGATAGAGTTATTAAAACTAGATTGAATTCTAAGGAAGAAATTTGCATTTAATTAGAAAATAATTTGCACTTCTAATATCAACCGTGACAGTTACTACTTAGAAAAAACCCAAGTTAAAAAAAATATAACAGTAATTTGAAATGTTAATTAAATTTTATACATTTTGGAAAGGGTTTTGTCGAATAATGTAGAACTTCAGTATCTCTCTATATTTCTGAGATGAGGTATTATGTACACTATTTACATTATTCTGACTATTGCCCTCACCTTTGTCGCCATATTTATTACAACGTTTCTTTGTACGCTCCGGCCTCTCCAGGTGGTGTGAATGTCGAACTGAACACTTTATTTTGCTCAGTGGGGTAAACTGTTCTAGTTCCACGTGCCATGTTTAATGGGTGTCAGTTATCAGTTACCTCTTGTTAATTTCTTCTCCACTGCCTTAACCGAGTATTGAACTCCCAGATTTGGGTCCTGTCAATGGATCTAAGTAACGCCTTTATCCCTTTATCCTTGAGGACATCTGTGTATGAATTTCTATGTATTATAAACCTAATGTCATCAGCAAACATTTTTTTTACCAAAGCTCATATTGCAATTTTTGTTGTTATTATCGCTTTTCTCTTGTACTCCTTATTATTGGTTCCCATATTGTATTCATTTCTATGCTTGGTCGGCTCAGGAGATTTTTGTAGCTTAGCATATGTGCTGATTCCTTAAGTTTACGAAGAAGCAAAAGAAGAAGAAGAAGGGGAAGAAGTGAAAGAAGAAAAAGAAAAAGAGGGAAAAGAAGAGGAAGAAGAAGAAGAAGAAGAAGAAGAGGGAGAAGAAGCAAAAGAAGAAGAAAAAAAAGAAAAAATAGTAGACAGAACAGGTATCAGGAGAGATAGTAAAAATACAAAATTTAATAAGAGGAAAATTAGTTGTGCAGAGCCATGATGACAAACAACCTGAGAAAACACAGTGCCTAGAAGAAGAAGAAGAAGAAGAAGAAGAGGGAGAAGAAGAGAAAGAAGAAGAATAAGAATAAGAGGGCGAAGAAGAAGAGAAGAAGAAGAAGAAGCGAAAGAAGAAGAAAAAGAAAATGAAAAAGAAGTAGTAGTAGAGGGAGAAGACAAATAATAATAATAATAATAATAATAATAATAATAATAATAATAAACAGGTTGGGGAAGAAATAAATAAAAAAAAATTGTAAAGTAGCAATAAAAGGGACTGAACTGCCTAAGAACAAAAAATTGCTAATATGAAACTGTAATTGACTTTGAAAAGTAAAATCGATGCAACTTTACCGCATAGTCGCTCTCGATACTAATGCATTTGATCTCTACATTAACTTGAGCACAAATACTGCTAGGAATGAAATGAATCCATCTCCTACTCCTAACTATGGGTTAAATAGTCAGACTAGTATTAGGAAAAATCATTGTAACGCAAAAAAACAAAATTATTAATGCGATATTCAGTGTCTGGAAAAATAATTATTCTTACTATCCAAATGATCTATCTATCTATCTATCTATCTATCTATCTATATATATATATATATATATATATATATATATATATATATACTGATTTATTAAGCGTAGCTTGGATGTAACACAATGCCAAATATATATATATATATATATATATATATATATATATATATATATATGTATATATATATATATATATATACACTACACTTTGAATTAGCAAGAGATGAACTTGGCAGACAAGTAAAAAAGAAAACATGAAAAAGATCTCTTAGAATCATTGAAAAAAAGAATGGAATCAGTTATCAGAAATTTTTGAAATGAATGCCAAAAATTTGTGCTGCAGTAATCGAGGCGAAGGTGGATATTTTGACGAGAGCATTATTTAATCATAAAATGCTTGTTTTTCTTTTTGCCATAATAAAATTTCTAATAAATATCTCATATAATATAAATAGCTCTGTTCCATCTTCAAGCGAAATTTTTTTTGTAGAAAATGCAAGAAGTCATATATATTCCAAAAAAAAATTTCGCTTGAAGATGGAACAGAGCTCACTTTAACTCAATTTAATTTAAATAATTATATTGAAGTTTTCGGCTCTTGTTTTGAAACATGAGACTTCTTATGTCGCGTTTTGGAATCATATTTTAAATAAATAATTATATTTATGCTCTACTTTTTGTATCGAGCATTTTTTTTTTTAAAATAATAACTAAAATACTAAGGGACTTTAGATTATTTACCTAACCAGTTCCTTCCTATTTTCTATATATTTTCATATATATATATATATATATATATATATATATATATACTGGCGACAGAGTTAATGTAAATGTTTCTAAGTGAGTACTAAAAAAGAAAAACAAACTCACATACCTCCTCAAAGACCCGGAGATCGAACAAAATGCGTTTTTGTTTGCACAAAGACGGTGTGTGGGGGATGTGGAGGATGTGGGTGTACAGGTGTGTGCGTGCGTGTGTGTGGAGGGTCTTAAGATGTGTGTGTATATAGAGATGTGTGCGGAGGTGTGTTTGTGTGTTAAGATGTGTGTATAGATGTTTGTTTGTGCAGATGTGTGTGTGCTGAGGTGTGTGCAGATGTCTGTTTGCGGGTGTTTCTGTGTGTAAAAGTGGGTGTTCGCGTGTCTGTTTAGTTGGGGGGGTGTCTGTGTGGGTGGGTTGAAAGAAATTCACTATTAAACTTTCAATTGTTATAACTTTATTAATTATTGGTCGATTTTCATAAAACATGGTTTCTTATGAACAGTAGAAGTACAGTTTTAAAATTCTCCATAGGCACCAGGTACCATTGTTCACGAGTCTTTGGAATCGTCCGGCTACATCCATGAACATTTCCCATACCTTCTGCACATTATTTTCCAACTTGGACGTTGAAGGATGACTGCTTCTCTGGGTATCTACCACAGATCCCGTACTCGTCATCTAGGGAGGATAATTTCTGTGCCAAAAACTTTACACTTGTACAACGGACTGCCACACGCTGAGGTCGTGTCAGGTCTTGTGCCATTCTGGGCTACACTCGTCACTCTGAAATAAAAACATAGAATTACAGTAAAATATTACGTCTCTAGTAATCACAACATATTTTATTTTATGCAAATGTAGTAATATTAACAAAAGTTATGAGTAATTTTCAATATCGATTCCGCCCACCCTATGTGGGTATTGTGTATACACACACACATACATACCTACATATATACATATATATATATATATATATATATATATATATATATATATACTACTGCTACTGATGCAATACTCTTCGATAAAACGAATCGAGCTCTCTCTCTCAGTCACTGGAGTGTTTACATAAAAATAAATACACAAATACACTTAAATTCACCTTCATCCCTACCGTGCGCCAATAGCTTAAGGGTAGATATTCCGACTGACGCCACTTCAGCCGGGTTTCGATCCTATCTAAAAACAACCGGGTGTCTAGTCACATTGATAAGCTGTGATACAGCGAAACAGTCTGTCTGTGGACAATATATATATATATATATATATATGTGTGTGTGAAATGTATATATGCAATTTATTATATATATTTTTTACATATAATAAATTGCATATATATATATATATATACATATATATATATACACACACACAATTTATTATATATATTATTTATATATTAGATATGCGCGGTACTTATTGGAAAACGCTCAATATCAGTGATAGAGCTAACATATTTAGTTTGGCACACACACATACATATATATATATATATATATATATATATATACACACACATATAAGTTTGATTAGAAAGAACCTACAAAGAAAAAAAATTAAATGAAATTAACGAATAAATAAATCATATTCTTCTTCTGCTGCCTCGTTCCCAATAGCAGTTGCCCATGACGTCACGTTAGACCATTCCAAACGTCGAGCTTTCAAAATAATACCAGGATGCAGACAAAGGAATTCTAAATACCTCACAGACACCAGCCCGGTTCTTGATAAGGACTGCAAATGTCGATAGTACTCGGAGATTCTTGGCGTTGTTTAAGAGAACCTAAATATATATTTTGACTGTTTTTCTTAAAGTTCGCATTTTCTTGATTTCAAAGGAATACTTGAAATTTTTCCAATATATATCAGTGAAATTTTTACTTTCCAAAATTATAGTTTATAGCTATAATTTATGTATATAGGAAAAAGGCGTCTGTTTAAATTATCGCCACGTGAATCTGGGTTAAACTGACGTCTTAATTTACCCATGTACTGTCAGTATTTTCTAGACAGTTTGTATTTTCTTGATTTCAGATGAAAACCTGGAAATTTCCAAATCCATTATTTAATTAAATTTTCTCTTTCCAAAATTATAGTTTAGTATCTTTTCTTTTAATTCACCCCAAATAAGTTACTTATCGCAAATATGAATTCACCGCCAACAAATTATATATTTTAAAGTTTGTTTGCTTTTTTATTCAATTTTTGTCACTCTTTTGAGATTATAAAATTTAAATCAAAATTTATTTAGCTTGCTTCGCAACAACTCCAACCCTCAGAATGAAAATTACCAAAAAATCAGGGAAATATTCAAATTTTGTAAGTGCGGATGATATTCGAGGTACTTACAAGGAATTTATTGCAATTAAAAAAACAAAAACTGTTCTTGTCTTCTTTATCGGGTTGAACGCGACGTAAACTCCGCACTTATAACTAGCGCACCAGAATCACCCACATTTGTAGCGATCCCAACCAGTGCAATGGAAGAATTTTGTGTGAATTTTGTATTTACTCCCTTCCCCCACACATACGAGGTCAGGTTGTGACACAAAGTTGGTTTGATATGGGGAACCCGAGCGTGTACACCCGGGCTAGGAATAAAAATTACCCGAGCCTCCGGTGCAAGCATTGATCTCTCTCTCTCTCTAGTGCAATGAGAGGGTGCATCCTCAGCCATCTGTTCCTCGGAGCCGGGCATCTCCCAATATAATTTTCTTTTCCTCAGTTGCGACTCCGTCCTTTGACAGAGGCGCCCCCTGAGCGCACTCTGCCCAAAGACAGAGACGCAACTGAGACAAAAATAAATAGTTGTGTTACAAAATACTTTAGAAAGTTATTTACACACTAAGAATTTGGTGTTAATAAATATAAATTCTTTTTATTTTGGTGTAAATTAATATTTCGGAGTGAATTAACAAAAATGATCCATAGTTAATTATTATATTTTAGTCAATGTAAACGGTCATCAAGAGGCTATGATTTGCTGGTGATAACTAATTTGCATATTGAGTTAAAAAAAACAAAAAAAAACAGTATTAAACGTAGCTATGACTAATACAAATTTACGACAATTTAGGAAAATATAATTTTACGGCATACGCCGATATTCAAAGCAATGAAGCGTCTGTACTGAACAACGAAGTAAATAAGAACATTGGTTTTAGTTGCTAGTAGAAGTTAATAATAATAATAATAATAATAATAATAATAATAATAATTTGGAGGGAATTGAAAGGAGGAGGGTGAACTAATAAAAGAAAATACAGGATAAATAAAAAAGAATTGGATGCAGAGGATAAAAAAATAACAGCAATGGTATTTGTTTATGGAAATTTAAAAACAACAACAACAACAAAAATGGTTTGATTCTCTGGGCGTGCTTTTAGATGTTTTCTGCTCCGTTAAACAAAGTTATTATTTTGTTTTGTTTTCATTTTGATGCGTTCATTTGATGGCCGCCTTAGATCCGCTCTGTGAAATATCATAAATAAGCAGGACTGCTTGAAGGGGGATTCTGACGTCATTGTTCCTCTACGAAGGACAACACTACTTCTTTCTTTACTGGAATTTCTGCCAGCCGATCAAAAAATAAAAAAAATAAAATAAAATAAAGTAAATAAATAAAATAAAATAAAATAAATAAATAAATGAAACAAAATAAATTATAATAATCCTTAATCCTTCTAAAATCCCAACAGTTTTGATGACATCAGATTTAACTACAAGAAAATATTTAAAAAAAAGCAAGATTTAATACTTTACTACATAATTTTAATTAAAAAATTGTATCGATTGATTTAAACTAATTCGCGGGCGTTCTTACACATTTCTATGCATTCTTATATATTCACTTAGTTATGTGCCATACGTGATACACGAATAGGCGATCATGTATCTTTCGATACATGACTGACGAAGCAGATTTTTTCCCGTAGTAGGTTGCCATTTCTTTCTGCGGTAGACCAGTTGACATCCAACGTTATAGAACACGGTCTGTCCTGCTATTTACCCATATCTAGTGGGTGAAGACGAGGATTCATACCTTTCCCAAGGGTATTAGCACGTCACTCAGTCAGTTATGTGCCATGCGTGATACACGCTTAGGCGATCAGGTATCTTTCGATATATGACTGACGAGGCATTTTTTCCCGTAGTAGGTTGCCATTTCTTTCTGCGGTAGACAAGTTGCCATCCAAAGCTAAAGAACCCGGTCTGTCCTACTCTCTACCCATAGCTGGGAGGAGAAAGGGATTCATACTTTTTCCAATAGAACTTACGGTTACATCGAGGCATTTCAATTGTAAAATGATGATACATTGCCGAAAGTTGAACGTAATTCCTGCGATAGACCAGTTGCCATCCAACGCTACAGCAAGCGCTCTGCTATGGGAAGAGGAAGAAAATCCATACCTTTCTCAAATGTATTAGCACGTAAGTGAATACAATAGATTCGACTGGAATTCGAACTCGGCTCTCCGATTCCTCAACCCGAGCCGCTATGCATTACTCCATCGCATCTTCCTCAAACCTTTACTACCCACTATACCTAGTTATCTCAAAGAGACGACCCATTTATTACGAATTTTATTATATATAGATTACTGAACGATTCACTTCTGACAATGGATGTGACATCCCCATACTACAACATCCCGCATGTAAAGGAAATCCAAACCTGTAGGAATATTTGACACACCAATGGTTCTCAAGAACACACTATACATGAAATCTCTCGCATTTTACTCAGCCATAAAAACTTCGAATTCAACGGCCAACATTTTCTTTAAATCAGTAACGCAATGATGGGAAGAAAAAAGATCCTCAGCTATGCCAATAAATTCAGCGTCTCTCTGGAGCGAAATATATTTCATAGTTGACACCTAGGACATATCCTTTACCAAAAATATATTGATATTTTCTTCTTATAGGTAACCTGATGAGGACACTCTCTATGTTTTCAGCAATTTCCACAGCAATATTCACAGTACGATCAAATTCACAGTGAAATATTCGACCACTTCCATTGTGTTTCTGGATGTACGGTTTTGCCGAAACAACAAACATATCTCCACACAAAATCAAACCAAACCTACAAATGGTAATTGCTGCTTAAATTTTTAGCAGCTGCCAACTGAAAATAAATCAATAATCTATAGCCAGTGTTTACGCATCATACATATCTGATCTGACCCTGGGGATGATGAAAAACACAGACTTCTTCTGATCAATCTCTTTCTCAATAGAAATTATCCCCTGAAAACAATTTTAAAAAAATCTTTCACTAAGGCTTCTAAACAATAGAGATTCTCTATAAATCAAATAAAAAAAATTCCAGATTTCCTGGTTTTTTTTTTATGTTAATTACAATATTCACAAACAATTTCATATTTTACAAAATTATTTCCAGTACCAAAAGCTTGATTCTTCAGTTAAGAAGATATTTGGTGAAATCACACTTAACGATGGGCGTCAAACTCCAAATCTACAATTACTCGTTACGTCCTCAACACAACACAATTCACATACTCATCATTGCATATAATAAACCCTGATGACGGGTTTGTAAACATATTATCATAAATAGTATTTTTACCATCCCCGGCACACATATATTAATCCGATCTCCTCACTTAAGTTTAAATGTTCAAATATAATATACTTATTTTATTTTATTTTTTTTTGCAAAAAAAAGAGCTTAATCTCTGCGATTTTATCCACTATTTATTTCCGATTTTTATTTTTGTATTTTATTTCTTTACTTTTTCACTCACTAGGAGAAGATAGGTCCGTCTATCGCCCGGTTTACACTTCTCCTCGATTTTTTGAACCGGAGTAGATATTTATCAGTTGTTTCCTGTTTAGGACTGGGTTTTCCGATTCCTTACAATGTCTGCTACACTACTAACGTCTCCGTTTGAAGACTGAAATTTTATTTAATATTTATTTATTTTTTATTTTTGTATTTTATTTCTTTACTTTTACCCCCTCAATAGGAGTAGATAGGATATCTGGTTCTTCAGTGACAACCATGAAAGTATGGTAACGACTCTGAGAGTGCGATGACAACCGTCATGGTGTGGTGACGGCAGTGATAGGGCTGCAGGACGTGAGCTGCTCGCCCTGAGCAGCACTTATGTGGGATCGGGTTCTACAACATTTCTGTGTGGCCGCTGAGGACTGGCCGGTGCATGTAGGGATGGTGGGATCAGTAACCTTTTGAAGATCGCGCCCGCCTGAAATCTGTCAAACCCGGACCAGTAGGTCATCTTCCGACCCATCCGTGAATCATAGATTCGCCTGTTTCGTGTCGGATGTAAAAACACGCGAGTTGCTACTATTACAAGAAGTATGAAAATGGACAGGCAATCTGGTAATGAAACCACGAGAGCCAGAAGGATTGTGGTGGCTGTAAAAGGGTTTTCAAGTCCGCAAAGGGTCACAAGATACACCAGACCAACATGAAATGTGGCGGTGAGTCAGTGACAAAGAAGCGCCCTGAGATGACGCCAATATGATCATTTTAAATTGACTGGAAGGAGTTTTTTAAGTCCCTAAAAATCGTTGATTTTAGCCATTTTAGACAACTCTCCGCTGAATTAAATTCTCTGTATTTAAAGATCTTTAAAAAAAAAAATGAAAAATTTGAAAACTTATTTAAGGAATATTAGATGATTTAAAGTTTAATTAATCTGATTTTAAATAAATATTACATACATTTAGTAGAAAATGTCGTAGAAACGCGTTTTTTTTTTTTTTTTTTTTTTACATAGAGGTTTTTGATTAGGTTTTGAAGGATTGACGGCTGGAAGTTTAATTTTTTCTACGGTGGACATATCTGTAAAAATTAATTAATATAACGAGAGGGCCTTTTGCATATAATTTTTAACTACTCAGTAACCTTAAAAATTAGGAAAATATTTTCCCTCATCTATTTTTTAAAAATTTTAAGTACATTGACTTGAAATTTAATATAGTTACCGCTCTGATTTTCTAATACTGTCTTGTATAGACGTTTATAGTTACAAAATTCGACATGTCTATGCACACACACGCAGACATAAAAATTGAAATTCTTTTTAAAATACTAGTGGTCAGTGAAATGTAGTAAGCTTTTCCGATTATGATTAGTAGATAGACTTTTTAATTAATAGAAATATCACCTAAATGGTAAAAAATAACACAGGATTTTAGATAGATAGATAGATAGATCTGAAGAGATTGAGATAGATAGATAGATAGATAGATAGATAGATAGATAGATAGAAGAGATAGATAGATAGATAGATAGATAGATAGATAGATAGATAGATATGAACAGTTTGAAATAGATAGATCGATACGAAGAAATTGTGATAGATATGAACAGTTTGAGATAGATAGAAAGATAGATGGATAGATAGATATGAACAGATTGAGATAGATAGATAGATAGATAGATAGATAGATAGATACAAAGAGATTGTGATAGATAGATAGATAGATAGATAGATAGATATGAACAGTTTGAGATAGATCGATACGAAAAAATTGTGATAGATATGAACAGTTTGAAATAGATAGAAAGATAGATGGATAGATAGATAGATATGAACAGTTTGAGATAGTGTTGAAACTTGACTAATGTATGGAATAATAATGCAACACAAAATGTACTTAGAACAAAATGTACTGAAACAAGAAAGTGTACACAATATTTACATATAGTCTTTTGTATATTCCTGGTAAGACCGTTCCTGGAGAATGTGTTGACTGAGTCGCAGTCGGGCAGAGTCTCTGGTTGAATCTCTTGATTCCTCTCTCTCTTCCCGGTACCAACCATATTTATATGGTCGGTACTCCACTATGCAAATTAGGTGGATCCTACCACAACAGATAGATAGATAGATAGATAGATAGATAGATAGATAGATAGATAGATTATTGCTGAATACCTGATCAAATTAATACGACGCAGTTGATCAATTGGTTTGTTTAAAAGACTCATTGGAAGAGAAATATACATTTCTGGGCAAGTGAAACAATCGATAATTCTGATGTGTACAAATACTTAGATTCATGTTGAAAATACGACTCAAATAATCATGCATCGGATATCCAAATTTCTTCCGAATTCAACGTATGTAACTTTCACACTATCAGTTGTTTTTTTAAATTCTTCCAAATTCGCTGTATGCCACCTTATGGTTATTGTTTATTTTGCTAAATTGAACACATTATTTGGTCAACGGTTCCAAAAGTTTCACCTAATCCAAATCGAAACCATTCTTTTATGTAGAACTGCACTATTTATCTGAAAGCCAATCGAATTATTTGATGAGCGAATAATGACACTACAACTTCATATGATTAAATAAAATCTAATAAAAATTTGGACAAGTATTATCGTATTAAAATCATCTGAGAAAATAAGTCGTCTTTGGGATTATTTGCTAACAAGTTTAGTGGATTAGCCACAAACTTTTGCTTACTAAAAACTGGCCGACATCAATCAAGGAGTAATAAGGAAAGATTAACAAAGTGTAATAAAGAAAGATTAACAAAGAACTGAACATCATCTGGAGGAATATTACGATCGATCATTTCCAGTCTTTCAAAGCTCTGTTAATTCCTTCTCCAGTCTCCGTCCTTTCAATTTTATACGTACTTGGCGTAAAAACAGCTAAGATTTCTGCATAATTAATTTAGTCGATAATTTCTGGGATAAAGAATAATAATTTTTTTACTTTGTTTATCTTCGGACGGTTGTCCTAATCATTGTTGTCATGATCAAAATGTTTTGGGCTTATTCGTGTGGCTGTCGTTCCTGGAAACCTTCAGGGAATTTCTAACAGGTTTTTTCATATACTATTTACATTATTCGGACTATAGCCCCCCATCTTTGTTGCGACATTTATGACAACGTTTCGGCCGTTGTACGCTCCAACCTTCTTCAGCTGAACCCTTTATTACCCGCGCTGAGGTATACTGTTCTAGTCCCACGTGCCATGTCTAATGGATTTCAGTTATCAGTTATCTCCTGTTAATTCCCCTCTACAAGTATTACCAAGTATTACTTAACCAGTTATTGAACTCACAACTCTTTGAGTCCCGTCATTGGATCTAACCAACGCGTTTATCCATTGTGCCAGGACATCTGTGCATGAATTTCTGGGACTTATAAACTTAATGTCTTCAGCAACCATTTTTTAGCAGTACTCATATTGTAATTTTTGCTGTTATCATTGCATGTTTTTTTACGAGAGCTCGTATTGCAATTTTCTTTGTTATTATTGCTTTTCTCTGGCACCCTTTATTACTAGTTCCTATATTGTATTCATTTCTATGCTTGGTCGGCTCAAGAGATTTTTGTAGCCTAGCATATGTGCTCATTCCTTAAGTTTATGAATTTTCTAATGATGTTCTTCGTCTATTTCAACCTGATCCCACAGAGGGCGGTGATCTTCCTTTTTACTTCATATGTGGTCAGCCACGCCTGATTTTTCCACTTCCCCTCGTATTATAGCGTTTTGGTGTCCTTATGCTAAGCCACAAAGCATAGAAATGAATACAATATGGGAACCAAGAATAAGGAGTGCCAGAGAAAAGCAATAATAACAACGAAAATTGCAATATGAGCACTGGTAAAATGGTTTCTGAAGTCCCAGAAATTCATACACAGATGTCCTTAAGGACATATGGCACAGTGGATAAAGGCTTTGTTTAGATCCAGTGACAGGAACCAAAGAGTTGTGAGTTCAATAAATTTACAAGCCCTAAAGAAAGAAAGAAAGAAAGAAAGAAAGAAAAACGATGGTGGTGAGAAGTAAGTTTGACAGAAAATGTTTCATTAACAGCAATGAAAAAAAGTGACAGGCGAAGGTGTTCAAGCGTCAGAGCAAGCACTCAGGCAATAAAGACGTTAGGTTTAAGACTCCTAGTTCTATATTCAGGATTGTATCACGGGAAAACAGTCTAGCGGATGAAAATATTGGTTCGTGAATTTGTTGAGAAATGTTGTGATGCTAACCAAAGTCTGGGATTAGTCCCAATGTAAATATAGTTATCCAATTCTACCATCATCATTATCGTTTCTGGGTGTAAATCTGAATCAATAATTCCTCATGTTCATGTCTGTATCAATTCAGGGTTTTCATGTACAAAACTTAGTTTTGTCAGACATAAGTTAGTGTACTATGAGAGACGGAGAGACGATAAACTCAAATTACAGGGTGAGTCAAAATTATGCTAACATTAGTATGAGAGGAATCATTTATTCAGAGTTTTCTAAACAATCTCCACTTGTCCACCAGCACAATTGGTGCACAAAACCCAGCGATCGGCAGTACAATTTAGTGCCTTGACACACATTTCACAGGGAAATTATTCTGTCCTTGAGTTCTTCGATGTCACTAATTCTTTTGCTATACACGCGATCCATTATCATATCCCATAAGCATAAGTCTGAGGTAATTTTAATATAAAATATTAAAGAGATAGATCCTTGAAGAGAGCTCAATATATCAAAATACAGAACAAAGCAATATGATATACATCAAAGGAAAAGCTTAATTAATCATTAGAGCGAGAGAGAGAGAGGGAGAAAGAGAGACAGAGACAGAGAGAGAGAGAGACTGAGACATAGATAGATTGATAGATAGATAGATAGATAGATAGATAGATAGATAACGGGAGAGAGAGAAATATATGAATGGACTGAGATAGATAGATAGATAGATAGATAGATAGATAGTGGCAGAGAGAGAAATATATGAATGGGATGGGATAGATAGATAGATAGATAGATAGATAGCGGGAAAGACAGAAATATACGAATGGGCTGAGATAGATAGATAGATAGATAGTGGCAGAGAGAGAAATATATGGATGGGCTGGGATACATACATACATAGATAGATAGATAGATAGATAGATAGATAGATAGATAGATAGATAGATAGATAGAAACAGTCTGGAACAGATAGATAACATTTTTTTGTCAATTTCTCCGCCTGCCTATCGTGAACTTTTCAAGGTGATTTTGTTCGGAATGCACAAAAAGTTGTATTCAAATGCAAAATGGCGTAAGACAGCGGTTCTTTGATTGAATACCTTCAAAATTGGACCAGAAATTCCAAAGCTCGTCGAATTTGGGGCGTGCGACTTTGGAAAACATTCAAACGTAACGTACGCGCTGCTTTCCTTGAAAGGGTGCACAAATCGATTCCTTTTATCCGTCCTGCGAGTTAGCAGACTCTTGTATCGGCCAACGACAGCGAACCACAATCGCGAATTCTCGGCGAGATAAAAGAGACTGATTATCTGACTTAAGCTAGAATCAAATCGCATCAACAAGCTGAATGCAGGTAAGTAAAATTTATCAAAAGATCAAAATAAAGATAACCATGTATGAAATAAAAATAAAAGCTATTTACCGCAGGCACGTGAAGGCTTCGATTAGTCTTGTTCAGCTTCGAGGTAAGTGAGCAGGTTTTTAGTCCTGCCTACTCACATTTAGCTGATACCTTTTTTTGTTTTTGTTTTTTTGTTTTTTTTTTACTTTTTTTACGCAGGCAGAATGGATCGTTAAATAGAATTAACATTTCGAAAATGGTTAAGTTGGAGTTCAGTCTCTGGTGCCTATTTCTTAGAACCATTTTTCAAATTAGATAGGATTATGTAACTTCTCAAGGAAAAAAAAGGCTTACCGACAGGCACAGACATGCGTGCATATTGATATGATAAAGATAGACATACATACATATATAGATGTAAATAGACAGATATAGATATGAAGTGAATGAGATAGATAGATAGATAGATAGATAGATAGATAGAAATTGAATGAGATAGATGTAAATAGACATAAATAAATTGATATGAATTGAATGAGAAAGTTTACAATAGATAGTGATAGATAAAAAGAAAGAAAGAAAGTAAATGTGATAGGAAAGGGATGAGATAGATAGATAGATAGATAGATAGATAGATAGATGTGAATAGATTAAAATAGATATGAATTGGAAGAGACAGGCAGACAGACAAACAAATAGATAGATAAATGTGAAAAGACTAAAATAAATAGATATGAATTGGAAGAGATAGATAGATAGATAGATAGATAGATAGATAGATAGATGTGAATAGACTAAAATAAATAGATATGAATTGGAAGAGATAGATAGATAGATAGATAGGTAGATAGATAGATAGATAGATATTTAATGAGATAGATAGATAGATAGGAATTTCATTAGATAGATAGATAGATAGATAGATAGATAGGAACAGCCTAATATAAATAGACCGTACATAACTATATAAACAAGTAGAACGAAACTATGGATTTTAATTTGTTATTTTTTTAAATTAAATTTATAAATATAGTTTCAATTTTGAAACATAGAAATTTCTGTTTAAAAAAGAAATAATTATAATATATTGCACTACGCTTTGTGTCGAGTACTGTTGTTTTTTTCTTTTGTTGTTTTAATAAAAAATAATTGCTCAGAACACCGGATTATATACCTTACTGTTCTTATTTTAATATATATATATATATATATATATATATATATATATATATATATATACTGATATGTGGCACCATGCATCCAGGCAGAGAAAGAAAGGCAAAAAGGGAAAAGGAAAGAAAAGAAGAAAGGAAGGGAAAAAGTAATGCAAGACGGATCATAGGTGATAAGCGAACACACACACACGGCTTAAGAGGCAATAAAAAAAAAGGCTTATTTTGGATAAGTGGCAAATGGCGAAAGAGTGTCATTACAATGACAATGAGATTGAGTGGGTAGGGAAGTGTTATCTAAGGATATGAAAACAAACTATTGGTACGAGAAGGCATCTTATTGTCAAAAACACAGACCACCGGCCAAGGAAAAAATTCAAGCGAAAATGTTATTTCGATAAGTGACGACAAGAAACAGGCGACAAAAAAAAACTTTGGACAGATATGAAAATTAAAGGCCACCTGCGAGCAATCATTGACCGATTTTCCTACTTGGCCTTTGCGAATGGAATTGTGTTATCAAGAAATGTTCGCCAGAGAAAGTCCACTTGAAAACGTTAGATTTTGATAATTCACAAAACACAGGTATAGCTACGGAGCCTTAGCTAGATATGGAAAATTAAAATCCCACACAAGCAGTCTCGCTAACTAAACTTTTTTCGACAAAACAAACTTTTGCCCTGCGATAATAAAATTTTGTTATCAGACACATGAACCGAAGGAAAATGAATAGAATGAGAAATGTTTTTATTTCTTCCTTGGAGACGTCAGACCGACTGAAAACTTGGAGAAAATTCTTTTCTGAGGCCATGTCGGAAAACCAGCCATCTGATGAATTAGCGATAAACTGCTTGACAAACGCCACGTGTTGAACAACGAGTTGTCATATTATACGTTCATGATAACGGCGATTTGAAAGAAAGAAAAAAAGGAAAGAGAAGAGATAATTAATTTTTTAGTTAAGCAAGGTATTTTTTTTTCCGAAACAAAGCCGCGGGTTGTTCACGCCCAACTAAGCCGTCATTGGTCAAGTGGTGATCACATGACGCACGAAGGAGGAGGAAAGATACCCGACCAAGACCTCATTGGCCGAGAGTGATCACGTGACGCACGAAGAAGGCTGTCGACGCCCCATCCAGAGTATAAGTATGAGAAGCCGCTACGAAGAAGTGGGGAGGGCAGTTCACGCCCCTCAGAAGCATGGTGAGAAAGTGGGAGTGAAAAAAAGTTACCAAAATGGAAAAGAGTGGAAAATCCCTAACCAGAAATAAAAGAGGTGGATATGTATTTAGAATTATCGAGAACTCCCCGACGCCAACAGACCCAACCCGGTTTTTTTGTCGGCGTCAATAAAAGCCAGGCCCCAACAGGCAGAAATCAGTTCGAGCCCTGACGGCAGAGATGAGTGTCCAGTAGATCAGGCCCTGATGGCAGAGATGAGTGTCCAGTAGTTCAGGCCCTGACGGCAGAGATGAGTGTCCAGTAGTTCGGACCCTGGCGGGCAGAAGAAAGTTCGAGCTCCAGTTTCCAGAGTTGAAAGCCGCCTCAAGATAGCTGACCAAATTTCACGCAAAATTTCGGACTCCACTTCAACCAAGAACAATTATTTTGAAGAGCGACTTAGAACCAGACCACCGAAATAAGTTTTTCGACTTTCGTCCAAAGACACACCGAAACACAAATTTCTTAGAGAGCAAACAACTTGAAGCGTTAAAACTTGCCTAGCGAAAACGACGTGTCACAATCCACAGAACGGGTCGGGAGAAAGATGCAGTCCTATGTATCGAACAACTAGACATAAAGTTTGTTACCTTTTTCTTTGATACTTTGAACTTTTTGAGTTTTCATTTTATTTTCTTTTATGCATATTTGTGTGTTATCACCCCCGTTGAACTCAATTTGCATTACGGCCCCAACCACTGTTTGATCTCGTCTGTCTAAGATCAATTCACAACGTGGATAGGCAGACTGGAGATCAGTGCAGTTACCTTAGTAACCAGGCGTTGGAAGCGAGTTGGGAACGGCGAGGCTGATATCAAATCTAACCAGATTCCCACCCGAATCACCAAAAGGTTAGAACGTCACATTTGCGTGCCGCGACCGATACCAAGCCAGTTGGTCGTCACAGGACGAGACAACACGACTGACGCGACAGGCGGACGTCACGTTTGGAGCAGCAACACCCGGACGGAGCAGCGAGGAGCGAACAGTGGGCGCTGCGACGAAGACGTCACAATTGGTGCTGTTTAGGGACGTCACAACTGGTGTCGTGACCGGGATAGGACCCTGGAACGGCCACGTCACAACTGGCGCCGTGGCAGATCAGGATAGAACGTCACAGTTGGCGCTGCGACCGGGGGACGACGTCACAGATATATATATATATATATATATATATATACTCGATAATATATATATATATATATATACTCGATATGTATACATATATATAAATATATACTTGATATGTATATATATATATATATATATATATATATATATATATATATACTCGACTCGGCCCCGTCAAATTCGAGGGTCAAGCAGATCGGGGTCCTTGCTGCTGGATGTAGTTTATCGTGTTACCCAGGACGGTAGGTCAATTTGACATAAATAGGTACATGATGACATCTGTGAACGTCCTATTCACGACAGACGTCAGGATGTACGAGACGAACTTGCTAACCATAGTTCCACAGTGAGGTATTTTATTTATTTGTTTTTTTTTTTGTTGTTTTTTTTTTTTTTATTGGAATCCACAGCAAACAGACTTGGGATAAATTATCAAGACGAATAGAAATCCGTGGCGTTCTTTTTTTCTTCTTTGAGTCTTATTGAAGCCATCGAATTCGCAATTTAGCATGTTATTTGAAGGCATCTTTATATTTGACGCCCACAAACCTGGAGATTCTGTATAAATGGAATTAAATGTAACAAAAGTGGCTTGCATTCAACGAACAGACACTTGCAGAGTTCGTCATATCATTTGTTTGGACGAGATTTCAACGTAAAGGTGAAGGCTTCTGTAAGCAAAAATAGACTATTTAAATATATATATATATATATATATATATATATATATATATATATATATATATATATATATAAACGCATTTCTTAAGCCTTGCTTGCATTCATATAAACGTTTATACCTCCATATATATATATATATATACTCGATGTATACCTATATATATATATATATATATATATATATATATATATATATATATATATATATATATAAAAAAACAAGACAAATGCTTCTTTTAGGGTAAATAGCAGTTTATGTGCTCTGAATCACATATTGATTGCAAAAGAGATTCCCCTGAATCAAGGGAGACAACTCTAAACAAGTATGTTTGTTACTGTTCCCTTGCTCTTCATTCGCGTTAGATACGCCGGCCTTTTGCAACTTAACGAAGAATAGGCTTCGGGACAACAACCACAACAACACAAATGACAA